AGTTTAATTTTATAACTACTCTTGAACGCTGATTGCCTTGTTGAGGTTCTTATCTTTGAGAATGGATCCAGGCCATGAGAACTGTTCTTGAGCATGTGTGTGTGTGCATCAGAAAGGCTTGAATGAATGTAACACAACTTGGAGGGTCATGATGATTGTCATAGATAAAGTTTTAGTGCTCAAGTTGTGCCCCTTATCCACTTCTAGAGTGTGTAAGACTGATGCCCTGAGAAGAAGGGTTGAATAATTACTTGGGACAAAGAACTCAGTACCTTCTTGTTAGGGGGTTTCCTGTTTAGGCTAATTTGAGATCCTTTGTATTAGCATCCTAGTTTCAGTCTGTTGGGGCCAATTTCTACAACCCATGGAAATGTCTCCTGTTTTAGAGCAATGGATTCCTTAACTAGCTACTGAAAAGATAGTAGTCTTAATAGTGTTCATTTTGTTTTTATCTAAAACAACAACAATCTTTTGCTCTTGAAATCAGTCTTAAAAAAACATACAGAAGGAACTCAAGACTAAATTCTCTATACTTCTCTAAAAGATCTTTTGCTGTTTAGATGACATGTTCCTGGCTAGCTGAGCACCAAACTAGCGAATAAACTTCAGCTCATCCATGTGCTGACAGTCTGGGTGACTGCAAAGTCCTCCCAGCTGAGAAGTTAATGCTGAACAAACTGGCCTGAGTTCTCTATTGCTCATAATTTTGCTTGTAGTTCCCTTGCCAGTGCTCAAAAATGACTATTTTCATCACCTTCCTGGGGACATCTTCTGATGACTCACACTGGGCCCCTCTTGTGCATCTGAGTGCACAGTGGCATCTCCCCTCTGTGCCATCTGCTCTTCTATACACTCTGAAGATGAAAAACAGAGTGGAGTGCAGCTTCTTGCTTTCTCTTTCAACTATTCAGTTGTTTTGGTCGAGATAAGCTGTCTTAAGACCCATGTTTCCACCTAGAAGGCTGGTTACCTTATTTATTTATTTATTTATTTATTTATTTATTTATTTATTTATTTATTTACCTTATTTATTTGCCCAAGAAAGCAGAAGCTTATGGATGGCAAGCAGGTTGGGGGAGACATGCTTTTCTAGTTGACTTTGTTCAGGTATTTTATCTGCAGTACTTCATAGTAGTTTCTCTGACTTCTTGACATCAGCTGTATTTATATAAGCTTATCCTCACCGGGTTGGTGGCCAAGATGGCACTTAAGCTTTAGACACCGTGACATGAAGAATTCCACATAGTGGGGATATTCTTATCTCACTTCAGCTTTAACTGTGAAGAACATTAATTAAGATTGTGGGGCAGATTTACCTAACCCTCAGGGAAGAAAACCCATTTAATAGGCTTTAGTTTTCTTGCTGCTGCTACTGATTCTGAATCTAGGATTCATATGATTAATTGGTTCCTTATGGAGTAGTTCTTCTGCCTGTTATACACAGTTCTTAGAATACAGTTAATATGGAAAACAAAAAAAAGTTTTCACATTGTAAGTATTTGATGATTGTTAAAGTAGTTAGATAAAAATTGATTCCTGGATAAAGAAAATGTGGTATATATTTGCAATGGAATATTATTCAGACATAGGAAGGAATGGAATTCTGATACATGATAAAATATAGATGAACCTTGAAAACATTATGCTTAGTGAAATGACCCAAAAGTGCCGGGAGCCGGTCCATCCTTGCTGTTTCAAGGGACCTGGCATATATGGCATATTGTTCTTAATATGTTTGCTCACCTTCTTGGCACTATGTGTTTTAACCAAGGTCTCCTCTCTGAGAAAGGTTGTTTCCCCAGGTAGGGATTTTCCCCTGAAGTTAGGGAGGGAATAAAACCTCTTAACTAAGTGCCAGGCGGGTAATTAATCACTTTAACTACGAACAATCGTGCTTAAGCTACATAATCTTTACTCCCTGGAATGAAGATAAGAAAAGCCCTAACCTTTGTAATAGAGATTGATAGGATTGAATCAACTGGTATAAATACAGATGCAACAAGACAGCAAGACTCAGAACTTAGAACACAGAACTTAGAACACAGAACTTAGAACACAGAACTTAGAAGACAGAACCAAGAGAGACAGAACCTAGGCACAGAACCTACACAGAACATTCTCTAGAGACAGAAGAACTTCGCTGGAGAGAACATGGCAAAAGATCCTGGACAGAAACTGGCCTCAGAACCTAGAGACAGAACCTAGCAAGAGAACATGGCGAAAGATCCTGGACTGAACCTGACTACAGAAATTGGCAAGAGAACCTGACTAGAACCTGGTGACTGAACCTGGCTGGAGAACCTGGACAGAACCTGGCTGGAGAACCTGGATAGAACCTGGCTGAAGAACCTAGCAAGGGAACATTGCTACAGAACCTGGCTGGAGAACCTGGAGAACCTAGCAAGGGAACATGGCTACAGAACCTGGCTGGAGATCCTAACCAGAACCTCACTGGAGATCCTGACCAGAACGTGGCTAGAGAACCTTGCTATGATGATCATCTGAACGCCCTCTCCGTGTCATTCCTTCTTCACTAACTCCGTCCACACCTTTGGGGACCCCTGGACCCGCTGGGGTTGGACCCCGGCACAAAAGGACAAATATGTGGTTCCATTTATATGAGGTCCCTCAAATAGGCAAAGTCATAGAGATAGAAAGTAGAATAGTGGTTATCAGGGGCTGAGGGAAAGGGGTGATGGGGACTTACTGTTTAATGGATACAGAGATTCTGTTTGAGAGGATGAAAAATTTCTGGAAACGGATATTGGTTATAGTTGCAAAACATTGTGAATGTGCCTAATGCCACTTAACTGTACTCTTAAAATGTTAAATGGAGAATTTTATGTTATGCCATATGAAAACATTTAAAAAAAATTGATTCCAAAGCAGGAAGGGTATATGACTTCTACATGCAAACATAAGTTTAAACCTGAGCTTATAAACCTCCTGAGGGCAGTCTTTCTGTGATCTGCCCCGAGTCAGCAGCAGAGAAAACCTTCACTCCAGGCTGTGGCAGAGACCAAAGTCTCAGGCAGCTGTAGCCTGATTCCCACCCAGCTTTTTGTTGGGAGAAATGATCATATTTATGGGAAATATCTCATAGGATATGGAGTTCATTGTTCTTCTAGAGATTTTCCTTTTTATCCCTGGATCCAGCCAACTGCTGTGTGCTTGGACCCCATTTTGGCTTTGTATCTGGCCCTGAGGGAAGCGACAAGAAGCTTTATAGGAAACTCCCTACTGTGTACACTTAGAGGCACTATTAATTATTACTGACCACCCCCCCCCCCCACACACACACCTCCCAATGTGGGTGACAAAGGATACTTTAAGGATTTACCCAAGGAAGGGACACTTTGGGAGAAATTTCTCAATGATAAGAAAAAGCTAGGCAATATGTACATTGTATTTCATCTAAACGTCAATGTGATTATCTTGTGTCTATTTTCTTCTTTGCTTTGGCCACTAGGATACTCAGAGCCCAATTTATAACCATGTCAAGTAACAGTTTACTACTTTATAACATACATTTCTGTAGGCCAACTTTTCCTCATACTCTTGTAGTCCTTTTTTAAAATGTTGTCTTCTTTATGTAGTATACATATATTGTAAGTGACATTAGATGGTGTATATGTATGCTCATACGAGAGAGAGAGAGAGAGAGAGAGAGAGAGAGAGAGAGAGAGAGAGAGATGTTTATTTTAAGGAATTGACTCATATGAGTGTAGAGGCTGGCAGGTTTGGAATTTGCAGGGCAGACCAGCAGGCTGGAGACTCAGAGGAACCTCAGTCTTTACTCTTAAGACTTTAGCTGATTTGATGAGACCTACCCACAATATGGCGGGTCATCTGCTTTACTCAAAGTAGTTAATCACATCTAAGAAATATCTTTACAGCAATATCTAGATGTGTTTGCCAAACAGCTGGGTACTATAGCCCAGCCAAGTTGAATAAACACATACAATTAACCATCGCAGCCCTGGTTGGTGTGGCTCAGTTGGTTGGGCGCTGCTCTGTGCACTGAAGGGTTGCCCATTTAATTCCTGGTCAAGACACATGCCTAGGTTGCTGGCTGGATCCCCAGTGGGGGACATGCAAGAGGCAGATCGATGGTTCACTCTCACATCGATGTTTCTCTCTCTCTCCATCTCCCTTCTTCTCTCTCTAAAAATCAATTAAAAAATTAACCAACACAGGGATATACACTGAGTGGCCAGATTATTATGACCGGCCAGATTATTATGACCATCCCATCAGTACTTCATTGACACTTCCAAAAATATTGAATATTGAAAACTTCCTAAGCAAATACTCTCACGGTTTTATTATTATTATTATTTGCATAACTAATTCACTTCATTGTACTGATAAGGTGGTGATAATAATCTGGCCACTCAGTGTAAATATATAATACAATTTAAAAAAATTTGGGCATAATTGTTATTTGTTTTTTCCATTTGCTTATTTGAGTGCATGTAGAAAAAGTTTCCAATTTCCTCTCACCTCCTCATCCAGATTCAAGTCTCATGTTGTCATTATTTCATCAGCTTGTAGGGCTGCCTTCCAAAGCAGGTTGGTTCAACAGCATAGAGTCTGCATTGTTGTGGATGTGTTGAATGTGTGAATGTGTTGACTTGCCAACATACCCTGATGTAGGTCAGTGTTATACAGAGTTCTGCCTGATCCTTGCTAATCAGCCATTTTTGTGGAGGGACGTGATGAGGTATATGATTTCACCAATTATTACCATTTCCAATTAGTTAGGGTCCAGGTGCGTGGTAATAGAACGTTAGCTCACTCTCTCTCTTAACAGCAGTTCCTGACTTGATTCCGAGGATTTCATGCATTTGATATTGTTCAATTGGTTACATTGCTGCTGTTCAACTCTGCAAAGTCCTCAAACATCTGGACACCTGCCTTTTGCGAGGAAGCATTCCAGCTGTTCAGGAATCAACTCATCGCCAGCACTGGCTCTTACCTTATCTTTTTATCCTTGGCAGACTGGCGGCTACTTCCTTTGGGCACAGACCTCTTCACTGCTGGAGGCCGACACCACGCTCTCTCTCAAGGTAAGAACTGAAGTGATTACAGACAGCCTCAGCGTTTCATTTGGAAGCTTTGGAGTAGGTTGTCAGGGACCCACGTGTCCCCTTGGGTGTCTTGGGACTCTGTCTTTAGTCCATCACCTTGGTAATGTGCCAGGCTTTCTATCCCATTCTAACCCTTCCCTGCTCCCTGCGGTCCTGGCATTTCAAAGCCTGGCTTGGCTTTATTTCCATTTCTGGAGAACCCAAGGAGAGAGTCATGCTCAGGGGATGATCAGTGGATCACAGACTTTTCTAATTTGGTCAGTTAGAAGAGAACCTTCTAGAGTAATTGTCTCAGGTATGGGGGTGAGACTAGCTGGGGAGTAGGTAGGAAGTGATGCTCAAAAGTGTCTATGTCAAGTGAAATACATTGCTAACTTCGCTTAGTAAGTGTCTGCACTGATTATTGAGCGTTCATGATTAGAGGACATTTAAATGTTAAGGATTAGAAACCATCTCCTGATCCGAAATAGGATGAGCGTGTTACTCTCACAGAGAAGAGGCATGGCATCGATGCGGGCACCTTTAAAGTTGTGTTTTACTGATGACTGCTTTCTACTTCGTTTTGGCCTTTTGGTTTAGGTGTGGTGCTTCATACACAGGCTGATCAGGTTCAGTTGTTAGGCATGTCTCCTTTTTCCTAGTGAGAAAACTGAATCTGGGATCTGTTTTTCTGAGGTTAGGCTGCTGAAACCAAGGAATGTCTTTTTGAGGCTGCAGGGACCTGAGCCTGGTCTGCTGAGTAATCTCCCTGGCGTGGGCTCTCAGCGCCCAGCCCAGAGGCCCTCTGCTTGCAAACAGACCTCCCACCTTGCATCTGAAGGGTGAAGGAGGCCGCTTCCAAAGGAAGGTGTCTGAGATTGTGAGCTGATGGGGCCTGGGCCATGTTTACCTTCCTGTTTCTTGTCTAAAGATTGGATTATTAGCATCGTGTTTATTAGTGCTAATTATGTGTTTCAAGTACAAAGCCATATTCTGTAGATGTCTACTAAGATTCTTTGCTCCTTGCTTTATTTAAAAAGATGATATTGTACTACCCTAATTAGGTCCAAGAAAACAAGTAGCAATCTGTATGTTATCATCAATGTTACCCCTCAGGGAATATTGGGAGGCGTGTGAGCTGTTACTTCAACTTACGAGTCTGCTATTAATAAACCCGAAGTATAAGGAGATCAGAGAAGTGAAGGTCCAGCAATGAGGCATATGGAGAGTATTGGGTGATCTTCAAAAGCAAGGAAACTTAATGGCTTCTTAGTTATAGTGTTAAACACCGTGTCATGAACAGCAGCATCCTCCTAATGATAGTCATAATAATAATGATAGCAATGGTAATAAAAAATAATAACTCTAATATTTATCGTCTCTGTCACCACCATCATGACAGCTAACATTTACTGGCTCCCATTTTCTGCCAGGCACTAGACTAAGCATTTTATTTGCATTATTCTTTCTAATCTGCATTGCATCCCTATGAGGAAGGTCCTATAAACATCTACCTTGTACAGGCGAGGAAACTGAGGTTTAAAGAGATTAGGTGAGTTGCTCTAAGTAAGACAGCCCAGCAAAAAGCGGCAAATGGGGGAGTAACTGACTGAACAGCACAGCTTGGGGTCACTCATGCTGTAGCCTAGGCCCATTTGCACATATTTATGGCTGGTAATCCACCCTACTCACATGCCCTTTGCCCTCTGTCCACCTACCATTAGCATTTTGTCTCTTCTGCATGGATGTAGTGAAACATTAACAAATATATATATATATATATATATATAGTTCAAGACTGTGGAAGGGTATTTGGCTTATAGAGAATACAGAGAAAATAATGAAGACTAAAAAGCGCCCAATTTGAAAAGATGCCAACTCTGTAAGTCATGAACACGTTTGCGCGCTTTGCTCTGCCTTTCCCCTTGTGTATAGTTCGTTCACATAGTTACTGTCTGTTTATGTTTTGAGTTTTAAATTTAACAAGTCTTTTCTTGTGCCTTTGCTTTCATAAGCCTACTTTAACTGCTGTCTATGGTTAGAGGGCCCTTAAGTTGACGCCACAAGAAGTTGTATCTTTGAGTTGCTCCCCTGTGACAAGTGCAGAGCTCCTGCTCACAGAATGGGATGGCCAATTTCTATCTACTGACAGTTGACTTGGAGTTGTGGGGTGTCTATGTCCCCTCACAGTGTAAACACCCTGTATCTTGAGCAGGATCTCTATGGGGTTGGGCAGGAGTCTTACTGGCCCGGAGCCCAGGAGACCTAGACGTGGCTCTGTACTGAAATTAGCTGCACGTCCTTGGGTAAATTACTTCAGTTTTGCATCTTCATCCATGGACCACTTATGTCCAGTCAGCTCTATAATTCCATGAAATCAGGAATTTTCTGAACCCTCTTGACTTATACCCTGATCAGTTCCAATTGATGCAGCAATTTTGGTTGAACTCGGCTGGTTTACTCTAAGTTGCTTCAAGCAGGGAGTTTAGTTTTTCAAGATGACCAGACCTGTAAACTCTTCAAACGGGAGGTGTCATAGCCACTTTTCTATCATTCTTGCTATCCCCACTTCTCTGCCCAACCCCACCAACTTTCTCCCAAAACCCCCTCCCTCCAGAATAGACAGTACGAAGTGTGTGCTCACCAAATATATGAGGTGAACAAACAAATACATGCATGACTGAGGCTACTGGTCTTGGTCTAAGAACCTTTAGCACCAAGGCTGACCCAACCTATCAAATTAGTAAAATTGTTTCATGTAGATGTGGTGACTGTGTTTATAATAGACATGGAATTTTAAGCCTCCAAAATCTCTCGTAACATATTTCAAGTGATTTTCCTACCAAGATGATTACCGATTCTTCCTGCACGTTACAGATGAAAGAACACTGGTCTACGGAACTTGGTGTATTTTTCCCTGTACTATGTGTAGTGTGGTTTTCTTTTTGCTTAGGTCATGGGAAAAATCAAAGCTTAAAATGTATCATTTTTTTTTGCTGTGAACAGCAGAACAAAATGAAGGTGTTTGGGGCTTCCTGCATTCTCGGAGCCACATGTCTGGACTATGCGGATTACATTTTTGGTTCTGACTGGCTCCCCCTGATTCTCACCTGGTGATGCTGATTTTGAATTTGTTTGCTCACACTTGAAGGTATCTGCCCACTTCATTGTGCAATATATATTTTTAAAATATATGTTTATTGCTTTTAGAGAGAGAGAAAGGGAGAGAGAGACAGAGAGAGAGAGGGAGAGAGAGGGAGACATCAATGAGAGAGAAACATCATCGATCGACTTCCTCCTGCCTGCCCTCTACTGCGGATTGTGCCCCCCAACCTGGGCATGTGCCCTGACTGGGAATCAGACTGGTGACCTCTTTTAAAACAAAACAAAACACGTTTTAAAAAAACCCCATATATTTTTATTGATTTCAGAGAGGAAGGGCGAGGGAGAAAGAGATAGAAACATTAATGATGAGAGAGAATCATTGGTTGGCTGTCTCCTGCATGTCCCCTACTGGGGATTGAGCCCACAACCCAGGCATGTGCCCTGACTGGGATTCGAATTGTGATCTCCTGGTTCATAGATTGATGCTCAACCACTGAACCACACTGGCTGGGCCTTTGTGCAATATTTAAGACCTATGGTGTAAAGCTACTTCCAAGGAGGCCAAATCTTGCCAGGTCTGGCCCTATAAGTTATCACAGACTAAAAGGAACAAAAGCATGTGTTGTTCCCATACCTCTCTGCCCCCGCTGCCCCCGCAAAGACCCAATTTGGCACCTACCTTGGCACAGAGAGCTTGCCTTCATCTCCCAGATTTGATCATCAATTAGTCTTAGCTTTTCCCAAGTTGATATGCTGACAGTGGTGGCCTCACTGGGTGGCTACCAGGTGGGTGAGATGGGAACTTGGAAGCACCATGTGGGGGTGGGTGAACCTGCTGGCAAAGAGACAAGCAGCCTGGTTTCATAGGTGTGCTAGTGCATTTGAAATGCTACTGATATGAAATCCTCATTTGTTTAGGGCTCTGTAGCAGTTTTCTCTTGTTGCATAATAATAAACCACCCAAACTTAGTGGCTTAAAAGAGCAACCATTTTGTTTGCTCATGATTCTGTGGGTCAGCAATTTGGGCTGGGCTTAGCCATTCTCCCCTGTTGTATGCAGCTGGTGCCTGGTGACCTAGGAGACCTCAGTTGGGATAACTCATCTCTGTCATTTGTGCTTTCATCCTCCAATAGGCTAGCTCAGGCTCCGTCACCTGACAGAGCTGTCCAGCAAGAAGAGAAGAGCAGAAACTGTCCATTCCATTGGTCAAAGAATGTCATAGGTCCAGCCCACAGGGGAGGGGGCTGAAAATAGGCTTCACCTGTTAATGGAATAGCTGCAAAGAATTCATGACCACTTAAAATTTACCATAGGCTCTTAACTTGGATATGAAAGCAACCGCAAATTACTTTCATTTAAAATGATTTTTATTTTGCCTTTAAACTTTCTTGGTGTTATCATCTCATCTGAGAGAAGTCTGGAAAACAGAGGTTGTCTGGAACATATCCCAGAATATAATAATAAAGGTAGTAATAATAATGTTAATATTGTCCTTACTATATGCCAAGCACTGTTTTAAGTTCTTGACATATCATAATGCATTTGGTCATTACAAAAATCTTATGAGTAGGTACTATTTTTATCCCCATTTTATAGGTGAGAAAACTGAGGCACAGGGAGGTTAAGTAACTTCCCCCAATGTCATGAAGGTACTACATGGCAGACCTGAGGTTTCACCTCAGCAGACTGCCTCCAGAGTCTGCACATTAACCCCAAATGCCTCTCAAGTTAATGGAAACTAATTCTTCCTGACTCTGAGCAGAGTTTTCTCTTGGACCATGTAGTTTTTTGAGAGGCAGGGGGATTGGCTATTTGGAGAGGAACACTGAGAGTTTTGGGGTACACCCATTTGGCCAAAAACGGTGCTGGTCACATTGTAGGAGACCCTGATTAG